TAGTCTGAAATAAGAGTTATTCTGTTTAAATACTACAAAATAACAGATAGATAGATAGATAGATGGTTGGATGGATGGATAGAAGGTCACACGAGGTGTCTGATGTGTCACAATGGAAAAGTACAACATATATAAATATTCTTGTTTTGTTTTCCCTGTTCATCACTGAGGTTTGTAGAACTAGAATTAACTTTATATCATCTGACTACATCTGACTCCAGAACTAACCCACAGAACACTACAACTAATGAGCAACTAATTCATGAAGCATTTGATGATTTAACAGAGTTTTAGTCTGAAATTAAAGTTATTCTGCAAAACATACAAAATATAGACGCACTTATAGATAGATAGATAGATAGATAGATAGATAGATGGATAGATGGATAGATAGATAGATAGATAGATAGATAGATAGATAGATGGATAGATGGATGGATGGATAGATGGATAGATAGATAGATAGATAGATAGATAGGTGGATGGTGACCGTGTGAGCAGCACTCGGAGCAACAGCGCGTCCCTCCATCGACGCTTTAAAACCACGTGACGTGTGTTTACATCCTCCTCTCAGCTGTTTCTTTCTTCTTCCACTTCGACCCAACGACTCGCCGTTCCTACTTTACCTTTCCCCACCGAACCAGCCGGGCGGCCCACCGAACCGGAGCTCGGCCTGTGTGTCCGTGAGGGTCCGTCGGCGGCGTCCAGCTCCGAGCAGCGCGTTAAATGCGACACGGAGCCGTGAGTCTGGTTCTGTGCTCATTTTGTTTTGCAGCCGACCGTCGTTGTGCGTGTGTGTGTGTGTGTGTGTGTGTGTGTGTGTGTCACTTTACCGGGTTCTTCTGTTCATGAGGTTCTGCATTAAGCGCAGCAGAAAGCGGGGCAGCGTGTTTGCAGGACGGAGGCGAGCTGGCCGAACCTGCTCCGGCTCTGTTTTGGTGATGGCGCACTCGGGCCCAGTGAAGCTAACGCTAGCCAGCTTAACGGCACCGCGGACGGCCGCGTCCGGCACTGCAGCTCCCTCACAGTCTGACGCGCTCAGTTTGCACAAAGCTGCCGTCAGGAGTTTGTATTTTATTCAGATGATTGTTTTATTTTGGTGCCACTCGTGCTGAGACATGCGGAAGACGCTCCGACACTTAGTTTGTGTGCAGCAGTGACCGGAGACGGGCTCCGGGCTGATCCTGCTGCTCGCGGACCGGTCGGGCTGCTGGTGCTGGAGATCGGGCTCTAATCGCACTGCAGAGAGCTCGGCCAGCAGCGACTGCGTTTTTTTTTTTTTTTTTTTGGGAGAACAAAAAGCTGGATGGAGGCGCAGGAGCTCTGCGCTGCGTAATGGATGCGGGGAGCGCGTGTTTGTGCGTTTTGTTGTTGTTGTTGTTTTTGTTGTTGTTGTTGTTATTGTCACAGATGCGGGGACGGGTGGCATCGAGAAAGAGTCATGATTAATAACGCTCGACGAGGGGCTTCGTGGAGAGAGAGAGAGAGAGAGGGGGAAAAACGCTGTTGTTGTTTGTTGTTTTTTTTCCTGCTCCGCCGTCAGCACGCACTGCGAACACCGGGGAAGGCCGCCGATTGGCTCGCGGGCCGCCGTCTGTGTGGCAACTGCGGCACGTGACCAGGTGCGCCGCCGATTGGCTGCGTCAGGTGTCGATCAAGTCGGTGCGGCTGAGTGGAGGAACATCTGTGTGAGAAAAACAACGCGGACACCTGTAGCACGAGCAGCAGAACCAGGAAGTGGGATTAGTGGGTCAGCAGCAGGGTTCTAGTGACGGGAAGGCGGTTCTCTGTTTACCTGGTAGATCTCCATGGCAACGGATGGAGCTCACCTGGTCAGGAGCAGGTGATGTTGAGGGATTTAAATCAGCTGGAAAGAGCGTCTGCTGACTGTTATTTATCACTGTAATACTAATCACATGCAGTCACATGTATTCATCTCCGTCCATTAAAGAAAAGACAAAATCCACAATAATCACTGAAATAAGTAGAAACTGAAAAAAGTAATAATAAATAAAAATTTGCTAAATTATAATTTAGTGAAATAAGACGTTGCTTTTGAATTATGATTGAAAAGAATAACTTAAAAAAATAAAACTGTCCCAGACAAATTAGGGGCCCTTAGCTGATGAGCAGTGGTCCAGAACACCTGTCAACAGGTGCACAAGTCTGACTGAGAGTTACAGGAAACACCTGATGATGGCAGTGATTGGCTCAGAGGGTTGTTCAACTACATATTAGTTCACAGGTCCCTTCATGCTGGTTTGCTTGTTTTTTTAAATATTTCTGTTGAACCACAATTCAAAAGCAACGTCATGATTTTCATAATTTTTTTTTATTTATTATTACTTTTGTCGATTTCAACTTATTTCAGTGACTGAAGCTGATTTTTTTCCTTCTTTAACGGGAGCCTGTGAATAAATGTGAGGACATCTGTAAATATGTCAGGTCCGTTTACTCTGCAGCTGATTATAAAACAGATTATTCTGCTGGTATTTATTACAGAGAATATTCACTCAGTAACATTCATTTCGCTCTGATTTGGCAAAAAGTTATTATGGGACAGAGTCAGACCTAAATGCACTTCAATACAAGATCAGGTTTAAATTTATTAGGTTTAAAGTTTAACGTGCAGCTGTCAGTCTGCATCGATCAGTAAAATAAATATATGAACACATATTCATTTCTGTCCTGCACCATTAACTGTAGCAGCGCTTTCTACCGTCATATTTTTTATATTCCTCATTGTTCTCCATTAAAACAACCTGCTGACTGAAGCACACGAGTCACGTTTTATGTGAACAAAGCAGAAAGTCTGAGTCGACAAAGAAAGTTGAACCACCTCCGTGATCTCTGACTGGAGTTTTTGTCGAGCCGGCTTACACAAAGAAAGCCTGATTATGTCAAACCTGCTTCGTAGTTCATCCCTCTGTGGTGGTTTCTGACTGTTTCCAGTGTTGTTTACCTGCAGGAGGGTCAACGATATGAGACATACAGCGCTTAACGAATGTATGAGACCAGAACCCAGTGTGAGGTTTACACACAGCTGCCTTACATGAGCAGCGCCCGAGACAATGAGCCCGACTTCAAAGCCGTGCAGACACTATTTAAACAAAGAACAGGGATGATTGGATCTGATGCACGGCTCAAGTCAAAGCCCAGATTTGAAAACAAATGTGGGATGTAGAACATCCCAGTAAGTGTGAGTCAGTGGGAGCAGCGAGGAACTGTTTGGAACCCAGAACAGGACCGAGTTTTATCTTTCATGTGAACACAACGCCACTTGTTTTTGTTTTCTGTTTGTACTAAATCCTATTTCACAGCTAAAGCTATTTTTATAGCACTTCTTAGAACTTTAGATTAAGATTTTATATTTATTACTTCCTTGTGTGTGCCGAGCTCACTGAGCAATAAAGCTTTTTTTCTGCTTCTGATAACAAAAGAGAAGAAAATAAAGAGCAAGAATGCAGGCCGATGGATAGAAGATATGAAGCTTTTTGGGTTATTATGTGTGAAAAAGGACTATTTAGTTGTTTTGGTTTGTTATTTGCCAAATAAATAACTTTGTTTTTGTAAATTTTAAACAAGCTTTTACAAGATTTCTAAAGTATTTTACAAATTTATTAAACCATCCGTCTAATGTGTTCAGCACTTGATATATATTTAGACCATCCAGCATCATGACGTGCTTTAAATCCACTCAGCTTTCTTCCGTTTTGAACAGGAATGAGGAATTTCAAACTGAACCTGAACCGGCTCACAAGCATCACATTCAACCACTAAAACTACATTTTTCTGCTCAGGAATGCAAATAAACATCTATAATCTGACATCTTAATCCAGAAATAATCATGAGCTTTACTGTTTTTTTTTTCTGTTTTAGCATTAAAAACATCATTTGGGTTAAAGATCTTCTACCTGCTGGTATATTAACCATTACAGAGACATAAGAGATGATTTAGGTAATTACCAATGCTGTTCATTTACAACAGCTGTGGCATAAATCCTGCACTGGGTGGAGGTCGAATGCATTTGTTAAGCGCTGGACGTGATGAAGTGATGACGTTACACCGTTCAAACTTCCATTTCTGTTCCTCGCATTCAGACGAGCACACATGATGTCTGTCATTCACGTTAGACAGGACCACGTGTCATCCATCCATCATCTACACTCCTCACGAGGGTCACGGGGGGGCTGGAGAACATCCCAGCTGACTCAGGGTGAAGGCAGGGGACAATTTAGAATCACCGATTAACCTCAGCATGTTTTTGGACTGTGGGAGGAAGCCGGAGAACCCAGAGAGAACCAGGACCTTCTGGCTCTGAGGCGACGGTGTTAACAACCAATAAACAAAAGACTAATTGTAAACTAATGGAAGTTTAAATAACTAACTGCCTTTTCTTAGATTTCCCTGATACCTGCCAGCTTCGTCCACGTGTGTGTCGATGTTCTAGCTGCTACTTTACAAACAGTAAAATAAAAATATCAGCTCCACCTGAGGACGGCTGCTCATCATTATTTAGCTGCAGGTTAAAAACTGTGTGTGACCCAGACTGAGCCTCCCTCCACGTCGGGGATCAGTTATAACTCTGTTTAATAAAGTCGTTCTGTTGCTCCACAGATCCGCTGCTGTTCGACGCCGTAGGTGCTTATCAGAGGAAAAACTTCTGCAAACAGCTGGAAGCGACGAACTGAAGCTCAGTCGACGCTTTGTGGGGAGAAAAACCAAAGCAGACTGCATTCATTCATCGGTGAGTATCATTAATGTGAGTTTGTTTTCTCGTAGGAAAGTTTTATTATTATGGACGTAAATGTGAATTTGTACAGCAGCGTGATTGCAATCGTCGTGATTTCGCCCTTTTCGGACCAATATTGGCACTAAAACATGGAGAAAGCTTCTCCTGAATGACTTCACACAACACAAAGCCCTGTTCCTTGTACATGCCTTTCTGTTAACGTGACGGGGAGCAGTTCAGACTTGTTTGAAGTGATAAGAGCTGGTAAAACTGCCTCCTCAACTTTTCCAGGATGCTCATTCAGACATAAAGTCAACATTTAACAGCAGATTAAAAGAGGGAACGACTGAAACAGGAAAGAAACACGGAGTTGTACAAGTTAAACCCCGTGAATGGAAAATCTGTAGAAATTAAATTAAAGAAAATACGATGCTCACGCTGCAAACGGGACATTTTAAATCAAAAGTGCACCACAGGAAAAACCAATCAGAGGGACGAGTTAATCTGCTGACGTCTGCATCTGACTGAACTTTTAGCGCACATTTGGTGATGATGATTCGTTTATGTGTACATCAGTCTGAATAGGAAGAATCTGCATAATTCATCGACCTTTTCTCACAGTTATTTCCTTTTTCTGTGCAAACACATCCTAATTTTAGTGATGGAAGTGTCTTTAAAATTATAGAGACTGTTAAAAATGTCAGTTTTTATTTTCTCAGGCATCACGATGGCATCTTCTGTGTCGTCGTCGTTCTGCCATCTGAACCCAAACGAAAGTCTTTTTTTCTTTACTATTATGCTTGATGAAGAAAATATGCAAATATTTACACCTGAGAATCTGGAACCAATAGATTTCTGTAGTTTTTTTTCTTACTATACCTGCAAACGATGCGTCCGGACGAGAAATCGAAGCGAACTTGTGAGGCTTGAGGTTTGATTGCAATGCGGGATAAAAGCAAACAATGGCGTGTTCGTCTGGATGCCGCAGACCGAAGCAAAGACGAGTCTGTGTGAGGTAAAAGTGTTTTCATTTGGCAGAGTAAATCGCACTCATCCCAGAACTGTGGGACTCCTCTTCATGAGTACACAGAGACAGCAGGAGCGAAAAAATTAGAAGATTCAGAAGGAAAATAGCTGGTAAAATTTTAAATATCTGACTCGCACGCGCTCAGACAGAGCCGCTTCCTGTTGCTAGTCCGGTAAAACAAACACCTGCGCCGTGACGTCCCTGGGCTGTTTGGGACTAATTAACAGAGTCCTGTGGACAAATTAGCATAAATAAAGAGAGAAACAAATGCACTTTTTATTCAGTCTGAACTCAACGTGAGCTTGTTGTCGGACCCGATGGTGGAACCGGAGGAAAAAGTCTGATTACTTCCCAAATGAACATGTTGATGATCTCGTGTAAAGACGTGTTTATGGTGTCGGAACCACGTATGGGAACCGAGTCGTGGGTCAACATGGAGGGTGGACGAGCTGAGATTGTCGAGCTTATCAAACTGATAGAACGCCCCGAGTCCCGCTGCAGAGGGATGTTCTGACACCGAGCTGGTCGGAGATCAGCTGAGAGCCGATCACAGCGTTCAATAAAGTCAATGAACGGCATTCTGACAGAAGAGCCGGGTTTGTCCTCCTGGTGGGTCGGGCCAGAGACGAGCACTGTGCAGCCGGTGTCCTCTGTTGACCTGTTGGTGCAGTTGGTAAATTGATAGGGATCCAGGGTCGGGGGCAGACAGGGTTTCAGAGGCAATAAAACCTCAAAGCACTCTGCGATGATGGGGGGCGAGTGCAGCCGAACGGAAGTCATTCAGGGCCATAGCGCCGGTGTATTTCTGCGCTGGCACAATAGCGGCGGTCTTGAGGCTTGTGGGGACGGCGGTCCGGGCCAAGGACAGATTGAAAATGTCCACGAAGACCCCGGCCAGCTGCCCTGCACAGACTCGCAGCACTCAGCCAGATATTGCCTCTGAGCCAGCTGCCTTCCGCACGGTCAGGATGGTGCAAACATCGGAGGTGGAAATTGAGAGAGGCAGTTCACCAGGTGGGAGATCTGCTTTGAGGGTGACCTTGTTTCCCCGTCGAAGCCATCGGGGAGATGAATGGAGTGGTTTTAAATCTGTGATGCAACTGGGGGCTTTAAGTTCCCGTCGCTGCATCAAACAAACTGGAAGATGGTAGATGTGTTTGGCTGTTGCATCAGATGTTCTTTATCCTGCACCCTGAACCTTTAATACAGAAGGCGTGGAAATGTTGGCCGGAGCCAGGAGGCGACCATAACTGACACATTTCGTCCTGTCGGGAGCGTAAACCGACTGGCCTTTAGAAAACGCTGCGACACGTTATGTGTGAAACGTTTGCCCTGGGTTTGACACTAAAGGAGGTGTCGGGGAGCCGTCACGGTCGGCCGGCGTGAACGTGAGCGGAAAATAGCAAAGTTGTTCGGATTTCAGAGGAGTGCCAAACTTTTCACATAACTGTTGTGCTGCTGAAAGTCGTTGTGATTTATTCTGAACACAGGAAGAGCATCCACGGCAGACGGCTCGTTAGTATGTCAGGTACCTTGTCGTGAATTAATGTTCTGGACAAGTGATGAGAACCAAACCAGCTTCACTCTCTCTAGAACCACGGGTGTGGCTAAATGCTGTATTAATATTTGTAGTGTTTTAGCACAAATAAAAGCTGCACATGACTTATAATAACATTAAGCAGTGAAATTAAACTTGTGAAACGTATTTGCACACGTTGTGTTTAAACAATGCAGCAGAGTTTATGTCCCACATGCATGTAGTGCCTTGTTCATGGCATGAACTTGGCGGCTCACAGTGTTGCTGCAGTAAAAATAGCACCAAACGTTCACACACCTTCCTCCAGAGAGGATTCGTGTGTGTGCAAGTTGAAATTAAACAATAAAAAAAGAGACTGTTTTGGCTACTTTATTGGGTACATCTGTTCAATCTGATGCAAAACAGTTCAGCTGGTGTGAATTAAAATTAAGCTTTTCGACATGAATAGTTTCTTAAGAACACAAAGCCGGGCTTACGTTGGACTGGCACGTGTTCTTTTTACTACGTGATGTCGCAGAATATCAGAATGCAATCAGGCTCAGGCACTAATTATGACCTCGGAGCTAAAACATGAGATGAAATGAACACCTCTGTGACCTGAACATTAAAGGCGTCATAGATTTAATGCCAGAACAGCTTTAGTGTGTACATGCGCTGAGTGTTTATTTCATATCGCTGACCTTAACAGCAAAGGTGAGGATTGCGTCATTAGATTAATCCTAACACCTATAAATACCAATGTGATTAAGTGCTCTGGTATTAACCCACAAGAGCGTGATTTCCTTTTGCAAACATTGCTGCAGAGTTTCCGCCGTAAACGCTGACGAATGTCCACACGAGCGGCTTTCCTCGCGGCGTCTGCTGATCAGTGCGTCGCGGTATGCTGCCTAGACAGGCCTCTGGTATTCAGTTGCAGCACCAGAGCTGATCCCGTGTTGCCAGAGGATCTGTTACGTGTTTCGTCATCCTTCGCGGTACAGCGAGGTGGTTCTCACCGAGTCACAGCAGCGGCTCACGGCCTGGGATGACATGGAGGCAATTTTAGTGCACTCCTGGGGTTAGCCCGGGATATTACGTGTTTGTGACTCTATTGCTTCGGCTCGTTCCCTGAACCGGAAAGCTGTCGTATACACAGTAAACAAAACCATATAAGAGAAAAAAGGAAAATAATGTAGAGCCTGAAGCCGTTACGCTGCAGATCCCACCTCCGGGTGTCTGTCTGGCCACAGATTTCTGTTTTTTTCTAAACATCACACCTGATTTTCTTCCTTGTCATGTTGCAATGCAACAAAGGAGAAACTCGTCACAGCATCCCTGCAATGCTCGGCTGTAATGTCATCACAGCAGCGAGCAGAAACGTTCTCTCTTCAAACCAATGATCCTTTTACTACTAGTTGGACTGAGGGGTGGAGAACAAGGTGAAGCCGAGTCGACTCCCTGGTGACATTTGCATGGTGCGTTATGCTGCACAGTTAAACAGCTGTCTGACCAGCGCTGTCTCCTTCTCAGGGTTAAGATCTCTGTAGAGCAGGGGTGTCGAACTCTGGTCCTCGAGGGCCGCAATCCTGCAAGTTTTAGATGTTTCCCTTCTTCCAACACACCTGATTCAAATGATCAGGATCGTTTTCAGGCTTCTGCAGAGCTTGATGCTGAGGAAACATCTAAAACTTGCAGGATTGCGGCCCTCGAGGACCAGAGTTCGAGACCCCTGCTGTAGAGGGTGTCCAGTAGATGGAGGTGCCATACTGGGAGCATGTGTAGTTAAACCAGGTGAGATGCTGCAGCACATCTCCTCCTGCCATCGGCCACATTGAGACGAACCTCATACAGACACGATGCTGTAAAGGACTTCACTTCCTCACAGCTTCATGTGTTCTCAGATATTATAAAGTCATACATGTGCAGCAAAGCAAGCGCGTCCTGCCTCTTTAACTCCAGGAGGTATATTTAGACCTATACGTTGTAATTATACATTCACGCCGGTGCTGCAGCTCTTTCCTTCTCCCATTTTCTCTCAAGTGGTGCCTTGTCGAGCTAATTCACGGTCATCTGATGTCTTTTTAACTCCACATCCCTGCAGGGTTGATGTTTTGAAAGACTCCATTGCCCTCTAAAGTTGCACTCCAGCTTTGTTTGCTGCTGCAGATCTCTTGCTCCTCTGCCACCAGCACAAGGTTTATTCCTGCATTAAGGAGTTCATGACAAGCTAATCCAGCTGTATGTGTGCTGCTGTAACGCTCCCTCCTGTGAGTGGCTTTTATTGACTGCGTGTCATTTTGCTGTATTAGTTCAACTCCGGTGGGATTATGTTAATATAAATAATTCTGGTATCGATTGACCTGCTTTCCCTGCGACATATTTCAGTAATTAAAGACACAACAGCACGGTTTACTCTGACCTCTGCCGTTTGCTGGCTCTGGTTAAATCAGCTGTGGCCTTTCTTTCATCGTCTTTTAACTCTTCTGCAGTGTGCTCACTTTTTCTCTCCGATCAAAAACAACAGATACAACATTTAGAAAGCATTTGCCTTAGCTTTTATTTATCATTGTTCCTATTAATAATAACATGAATAAATAAGTAGCTGCTGCTGGCTGCCGTCAGAGCGTCTCTGTTCTGATTTACGGCGGCTGCAGTCGAGAAAGCTTTTGGGGGTTTTTTTTCATCTTTGAGTCAAAGTGAGTGAAGTTGATGTTTTTGCACCACCACGCTTAGATGGCGGCGGCACGAACAGCATGCATGCTGGTCTCGTTATTAAAGTGAATTGGTGATGAATCGCCCTCGTGCATGAATCACACTTCAATAATAGCCTCGTTTTACCAACGATCCGTGATGATGATGAGGCTACAGAAGCCTGGAGACGCACGGCGAGGGCAGCGTACTGTCGGAACCACCTCGTCCCGACACGTCCAGACGTATGTAATGTGTGTGCTTCATGTTTTCAGAGGAGCTCATGAGTTATTGAGAGGAGCCAAGCCTCCCCCCGGCCTCCCCGTGGTTCACACCCTGCTCCTCTGCCTCCTCTTCTGTTCAGTTTTCTTTCACTCATTATACCGCCTCGAATCCTTGACTTCTCTCTCCGGCAGCCCTGTTTATTATTTACTCCACCAGGTTCTTCTGTGTTCAGATGTTCTACTGATTCAGACTCATCAGAATGTGTGACTGATGTGTGTAATGTGTCACGTGTTTTACAGACATGAAATAAATCCATGTTTCTGTTATGACACAAACATACGCCTGATAGACTTTTACAAATTGACTGTTGTGCACGTGACGACTTGGACGATTAAAGAATGAATACAGGTTCTGGAGAGCAAAGCCGTTCACCTGAGAAGCAGCAGAGTCGATTCTAATCAGCCAGACGTATTGATGGTTGCGACAGATGCACTGAAATAATAAGCCCCTCAAGTCCGTTGTGCGGCGTATTGACGGCTCGCGTAGTTTTGAAAACAATCATTCTACAATCGTGCCAAAGCAATTGAGGAAAACTACTTCGTCAAACACACTAACAAGTGCTATTACCAAGCGGGTCTGTGTTGATTTGTCTCGGAGGAGCGGGCTGATAATGACCCCTGCTTCAAGACTGTGGATTATCAGTGGTAAGACTGTACAGCAGTGCCCAAAAGCAATTTACTTGAATACCTCCCTTGACCCATTTTCCTGGATTTTCTTTCAATGCCTGCAGAGGGGAAAGTGGGGAGGATAAAAAAAAAAAAAAAAAAATCTTTCAATGCCTGCAGAGGGGAAAGTGGGGAGGATAAAAAAAAATAAAAAAAATACAGCGCTGTACGTCCGGTGATGGTGAGCGAATCAATGATTCTTTTTGCCTGGGAGAAAAGAGCCGATGGAAAATTACCGTACCAGGCCTCCCACCACAAAGTCACCTCTGAATTTAATCTTTATTAGCTGAGTCAGATGTGGAGATGCTGAGGAGGCAGAGAAGGAATTCAAAACTCATCTCCCTCAACTGCATCTCAAGCTATACAAGGTTGGATATTTGGGATATCAAAGCATTTATAGAATATGTGAGACCTGGCATGGGCTGGGATTTTTTTTTTCCTCTTTATTGCTGCAGTGTTGTGCTTTATAGAGAAGTATTAGACAGTAAAGCCAGCAGCTCATTAGCCTTCACGCGAGCAACTTTCAAAGCACCACAGATGAGTGCATATTTTAGCTTAAACGCAGGCGTGCATCAAAGGTTCTCGTCATTTTGGGGGCTTTTGACCTCTTCATATGAAACCTTTTCCAGCATATTTGTTGTGGACATCAGTGATGAACCCAGAAAAAGAGGGGCTTTTAACCTTCTCTTTTATGGGGATGTTTGAAGATAAACAAAACAGAATATTAAGAAGAAATGTTGTGAAATCGAAGCCATTGTTGTGTCACATCCAACTCTCTCCAGACATCAGTTTTGTGTTTCAGTACAGTTGGCCAAGTGTCCTCAAAAGGAAGAAAAACTGTCTGTGCACACCTGCATATGTGACAGATGCATCAGAGGGAGGCACAAGTCGAATAAAAATGAAAAAATCTCTGGCACACTCGGCTGCCTACTGCAGGTATATTTATTAATTTACAACCAGGGCTCGGTTTGTTCAGCCTGTGCAGATATACCGTTCAAAAAACAATGATTTTTTTTTTGAAAAAGCATGACGTGTGCTTTATGTAGGCTTGGCTGGTGTGGTGCCAGTGAAATGTGAAGCAAGATTTGCACTCTGGAAGCTATTTCTTGAATATTTCAAGAGAGAAAATCAGTCACTGTGTATAGAAATATAAGATTCAGATGTGATTTTTGCATTTTTTAAGTTACGGCCAAGATCTGTTGTCTGGTTATTTGTTTTGTAATATATTTTCCAGGAAGTGCCATCATCATCATCATCATCATCAGTGTTTGAGCTCCAGAGTTACATATGCTGTGATGGAGGGCTGTGTCCATACTGTCCAGCCCGATGTCAGCTTCATGTTGCATCACTCCACATCTGCCCTGTGGACACAGCAGCTCCCACAGCAGCAGCACATGACGTGACATTGGGACACACAGTTTCTGCTGTTGGTGTCTCTCGGCCGTGAAGTCAATAATTTACTGCAAATTATTTTCTTGACGGAAAAATTTCCATCTGAACTTTGCAGGGAGGGAAAAAAAAAACCCTGCAAATGTGCAAATCTGCACTATTGAGTAGCAGGAAGAGGTGTTGATGGAATCATCTTTTAGACTAAAAGAGAAACATCTGGACAAAGTTTGTTGTTTTCTGCATTTCTGTGCACAAGATATGTCAGCTTTGTCTCTTTCTTCACACATTGTGTTGGGTATTTGAACAAAAGCAGAGGTAGAATCCTGGTTTGATAATGACTTGGAACCAGTCAGCGTTTGTGGACGCCACAGCAGTGATTTATACCCGGACCCTTGAAGCCAAATGGAATAGAGACAGTATCAAGGTCATTAATTGCACTTGTGCTCTCCCTCTCTCTCTCTCTCTCTCTGTGCTATGTCATGTCACATATCTGCTGGGAATTGTACTAAATATATTCATGCAATCAGTATAAGGGAGGCTCTCTTGTTAAGTAACCGTTTGATGGATGTATTGTCTCTAGTAAATTCTCACATAAACGCTCACAAAGTATTCCACTTACCCTTTTTACGAAGGCACTGCAGAATACAAATCGTAGATTTTTATCCTGAAGGGAACTAATTTAACAAAAAAAAAAACACACTCTCTGTTTCTCTGGCTTGTTAATTTTTCATCTTAACACAATCCCAGATGTGGGTTTATGAATCTGCTCTTTTACCAGCATCTGAAATCTGCATTCCACTTGTAGGTTTTAACTTAATTTCCTTAACGTGTCTGATGTTTCTCAGGTCGGCCGCCGCCCGGACATGACCGCCGTCTGAACCGACAGCCGAGGCGTCACAGCGGCGGGATCCTTCAGCCAGCCCACCCACCTCCTCCATGCCACTCTGAGGAGGAACAGCTCAACCTGAGTACAAGTTCGGCCGTTTGTTTCTCTTCTTTTCGCCATGGGGGGAGCTGTGAGCGCCGGGGAGGACAACGACGACCTCATCGATAACCTGAAGGAGGCTCAGTACATCCGCACAGAAAAGGTTGAGCAGGCTTTTCGGGCCATCGACCGCGGAGACTACTACCTGGACGGCTATCGGGACAGTGCCTACAAAGACTTGGCGTGGAAGCATGGAAACATACACCTGTCTGCTCCGTGCATATACTCCGAGGTGATGGAGGCCCTCAAGCTGCAGCCCGGACTTTCTTTCCTCAACCTGGGCAGCGGAACCGGCTACCTGAGCACAATGGTCGGCCTCATCATAGGTAACTCTCGTCTGTTTTGTTGGTTATTATTTTAATTTTCATGTGTGGGAAGTGCTCAGATGTTCTCTCAAATCTAGACGGACGAACTTCCTGGGAAAAGCATCAGTGCTGCAATGATTTTTTTTCTCATTCCTTATACTGTTTGGTCTATAAAATGTCAAAAGGTAAACATTTTTAATTATCTGGTGCTTTAAAGTTGTTTATTTTAGTTTGAAAAACTGTGCGAAACCCTGAAAATGCAGTTTGCAGTTGCGTAAAACAAAAGAAATCAGCAAAACCTTCACATCTGAGAAGCAGAAACCAGCAAATGTCTGGCTTTTTGTGAGACATAAACAATGTCAGCGACTGCTTTTAAGACAGATGTTGTTTCTGCCTTTTTCCTCCCAAGGACCCTTCGGTGTGAACCACGGAGTCGAGCTCCACAAGGATGTCGTCGAATATGCCAGAGAGAAGCTGGACGACTTCATAAAGAACAGCGACAGCTTTGACAAGTGAGTACGCGCTTTAAAAGAATATTTCATTTCGGGGAAACACGCTGATTGACAAATCTATAAAGGAGACACTTTCCTGTCTAATGGCGGGTTACGTGACGGACGATAAACCCTCTCGCTCTCCGGTGGTTTCCTGGTTCAAGCAAAGAAACTGCCCCATATATAACCACCCATAAAACAGAGAATTGTCAGTGTTTGTTTGAAGTAAACAGAAAATATAACTGCTGCTAGTAGGTGGATTTTGTTATCGCTGCACGGAGCCAGGAGAAACCCTATCGTTTAACTGTGCACGAGAAAAAAGTCCGACTTTATGTTCAGGAAGAGGCGGATGTTTCCCAACAGCTGGTGACGGTTTTACAAATGAAACACATTTAAATCTCTCTTGTAGTTTTTGTTTTATTCTGTCACAGCGTTCTCCTGCAACACAAACATGTTTTCCGTCATGTGTTATTTACCACACTTGTGATTTATTTTATTTTTTTTCCTCACAGGTTTGAGTTCTGTGAACCTGTCTTTGTGGTGGGGAATTGCCTTGAAATCTCAACAGACAGTCACCAATACGATCGCATTTACTGCGGCGCCGGAGTGCAGAAGGACCATGAAAATTACATGAAAGTGCTGCTCAAGATTGGAGGCATTCTGGTGATGCCTATAGAGGATCAGGTAAGAACCGCGGAGCCGTCGGAATCCACGCGTCGTGACTCGAAATGCGAACGCGTGAGGGAAAACGAGGTAAAACAGCTCTGACCTACAAGACTGGTTACGCAACTTTCCCATGCATTATTGAGCCACGGCTGACCTTGGATTCAAGCAGCCTTGTATGGAGCTCACACACACACACACACACACACACATGTAATGTTTTATTTAAAACGGTGGATGTGCGAACGCGGACAGACTGCGGGGCGTTGGAGGGCTCAGAGGTTGTGACAGGTTCATGGTCGAGCAGTTTAGGACATTAAATGGAAAAAGAAAGTAAAGCGAAGCACGGATTGGATGTTGTCTCTCCGTGGTGTGGATGTTTTCTGTTCCTCCTGCAGGGAGTTCACAGAGGACATCACACGTATGTAGGAAATCAATCGGATGCGTGTTCAAAGCACAACATGCAGAAGATGAAAACAGTCTGCAAACTACGACGGCCTGAAAGCTCCTCAACCCGAATCCACTCGGGCCACACTAATGCGAATAATTTTCAAAACACCATTTCTTTTTTTCCCTCTCTGTCTCTCTGTGCTGCGGCCTTTTATCAGCACCAAACCAACTCTGTGTACCTCCATCTCCACGTCCTCCATGGCTCTTCAAAATTACTCTCCGGAGTGGACAAATATGAAACAGCCATTGTAGGGAGAGTAAATGGAGCGCAGAGCTACTTCAAAATGTGGATATACAGCGAATTAATGACCGTCTTCAAAGACAAAGCGTCCAGGCAACTTTAAAGGTTCTGCGTACGAGCTTTTTGAACATGGCTCCATCAGCATCTGCTGAGATGTAGTGGAGCAACCTGAGCAGAGGATGCTGCTTCTGTGCAGTCCTAGCCTTAGTCACATTAGTGCATGTTAGCGGATGTGAGTCACTCCTTTGAAATCGTCGGCCCACGGCGCGTTGTAAAAGCGACATGGCAGTTCAGACGGGAGTGCAGTCCAAAGAGTCTTATTTATGCGAGCTACCTAATTTGTATTCACTCATTTCAGCTCAGATCGGGAGTCTCTCCTGCTTTTTTTTCTGCTCCCTCTGCTTCTCCTTTGCGTTGTTCGGCTCCGGTCTTTGTGCGTCTGTTTCACCATGTGTAACCGACACACAGCGACGGGTGAAGATAGCATCATTCAAATAGACAATAACTCGTTACAGCCTCTGAATTCATTTTACGCTGTTGCCCATAAAGTGGGAATCAAATATTTTTCTGCCTCTTCTCATGAAATGATTGTGACAATGCGGTTATCTTTTAAAAACTTTATTGACATCACAATATAATGCATATCACAGTAAACATTAAACCACAATTAACTTTTGCAAACTGTGTATTCAGGCTTGGGCGTACTGAACAATAGGATGTAAGGGTTTTGTTTCAAATTTTCAACCTTTGATGCATCAGAATGTCCAATATTACTATTTTAAATGTCACTCATATTGACTCTGGCCACCCCTGACATGGATCAATGACATGGTGGCGTCCTGTCCACCAGCTGGTTGATGGAGTCGACGGCAGGACGTCCCACTCTTCAGTCAGAACCTGAAGTCAGAACTGGTTCCACCTGGTAACTGGGGCTCAGTATGTGATCACTGGACCTGGTCAGAAGTGATTACTGATGTGTAGAAATAGAAATAAAAAGAGGAGTGTGTCCTAAAACTAAAATTATTCCAACTTTATGGGTGACGGTGTACAGCGCTCAAGTGGGCTCACGGTTGTGTCCTGATTATTTTTGTTCTCTCTCATGGGAGCAACCTCTTTGTTTTAGACACAGCAAAACAGGCCCAAATGATGATGCTACCACCACCGTGCTTCACAGATTCATGGCTTTGACAGAGATAAGGCTCGTATGCTGGAACGAAGTGTTTTGTGTTTCCCTTTCCGCACGTTTTGGTCTCCACCAGCCACAAAGCTAGTTCCATTAGCCTTCTGGCTTGTCCACGAGAAACCTTTGACCGAGAGAAGTGGCTTCCTGTCTGCTTGCAGCTCTGCCATCCACACCGCTGTTGTCTTCTCTCTGTTGCATTCCCCCGAGGGTGAACTCAAACATCACCACTATGTGAGAGAGGCCTGCAGTCACTGTTGCCATGGGTTCATCTTTGTTGGTCGATCGCTCCTGGGGAGGCTGACAATGGGCTTCAATTTCCTCTATTTGTAGATAATCCGTCTGACTGCAGAGATGGTTTTGTAACCTTTTCCAGCCAGATGAGCATCAAGACATTTTTCTGAAGTCATCAAAAGTCTCCGTTGTTGGAGCCCTGATAAACTGCAGATCATCTTTAGCACCTGATTGTCATCCCATCGACTGAAAACACGTTCAAAGTAAATGATAATCCTGGAAGTTCACGCACTATGTTGTGTCATAATTACAGGAAACTGTTTCAGAATCAGGATCAAGACTAAAAAGTGTGCATAAATAAGATGTCTGTGACGATTCCCAGTCATCCAGGTCGTGGTTATCGTCGTAGTTTAATCGTAGCAGCTGGACTTGCTTGAGTTCGTTGAAGACGTTTTACCTTCATCCAAGAGGCTTCATCAGCTCTGACTGACTGGTTGGGAGATCCATTCAATTCAATTCAATTCCATTTTATTTGTATAGCATATATTTACAACAACAAGTCATCTCATCGCGCTTCACAAAGGCAGAGACAGAAACACCCAACAATCCAAAACATTTGGATTCCCTATAAGCTTCAGCAGTCCGCAACAGTGGGAAGGAACCAAAAACCCCCACCAGATACTGATATCCTTAAGGAGCCATTCACACCTGAGTTTCTGTTTCAGTTGGGGGTTTGTTGCTCCTCCTCCTCGAAACCACATTTAGCCACAGAAGACCTTAACGAACTGTAATCTGGAACCAGTCAGTCAGAACTGATGAAGCCTCTTGGATGAGAGGTGGAACGTCTTCAAGGAACTCAAGCAGTTGCTACGATTTAAACTACGAGAAAAAACTCGTAAATAAGCCCATTTAATTATGGCCAGTATGTCGACATATAGGGTAAAAACATACAGCAGGACTCGCTGTGTGTGTTTATAGGGATGGGAAAGTCTTGGAACTTAATTGGGATTTCTTCCATGTCAGAGTAATGCAGAGATGCTTGTCAGCACATCCAGTGGAACGCGGAAAAAAGAAACAGCTAACAGCTAATTTGGCCAACTTTTGGAAATGTAAACAAATCTGATTTTAGTCTCTGGATCCATGGACGTGTCTGTCGTACAGGTTTATGTGAATTCATTTTATATAAGACTAAAAACTAAACTTGTGTTGATGTTCAAGCTCACATTCATGACATCAGATCAGGTGGTGCTTGCACACTTATCGAGCACGACTGGTAACTTCCTGGTGATGCAGGTTGGACTGAATAACATCTGATTTGCTTGAGCACAAAGTCCAAAGTACGACAAGCGACATGTGTGTTGAATTCATAAATGATTGATGAAATTTTCTTTTCATTTTGTGATCACGGATTCTCAATTGAACATGAAAAGAAAAACATACTGTCGCTGTTTCTTGCACTTATTTGATGTGCGGATTGAAGGTAGAACGTATTCTGGTTAATAATGAGCCGCGTAAATCACAACAAGATGCAGATAATGTCTGTACTGTGCTGCTGGTACGTGTTGAGAGTCAAACAGAAATACACCCTCAGAAGAATCTCTGTTCAGGTGGTAGAAACGCGCCGTGTGCAATGGCAGATGGGTAAAATACTCGCACAGAGACGAACGCTCGCCAGTGTGTGTGCAAACATAGACATAATACGTGATGGATTTAAAGCGTCTGGCCAGGCTCAGGCCCTTATCTCCTGCTCCCTAATGTAATAGAGCGTTTCATATTTTATAAGTGCTTAGTGTTGAGTTCAGGTTTTGTCTCTTTATGCAGCTGACCCAGATAACCAGGACTGGCCAGTGCACATGGGAGAGCAAAAACATCTTGGCGGTGTCCTTTGCCCCCTTGGCCCAGCAGAGCCGAGCTGACGGAGAGAAGCCCGACACTGTCCAGCTGCGTAAGTTACCCGGCGTCGACTGAACCCAGAATCTCAGGCTTTGTGTTTTATCACGCCTGACTCGTCTTGAAGTGTAAAGCAGGCAATATTTTAAAGTCAAAGTGATGTGACGAGACAGCTCCTGCAGCGGCGTTGGCTTTGACATATGAAGCTCGCCCTGCAGCTGCTTCGTAGACCCGCTCGCTTCTTTCCTTGAAACACTGAGACGCAGTTTTCTCCCCTCGCCGTCCTCACTTGTTTATGCTGACCTAGTTGAAGGACTGGTGCAGTTGTATGGATTATTCTCATTTTCTTTTTTGTGTGTGTGCTGCATTGCCCTGAAGGAGCGTGTCGTCTTCTCTTTGTCCTCAGCCCCAGTGACTGTCCGCAGCCTTCAGGATCTGTCTCGGATCTACATCCGCCGCACCCTCCGAAACCTGGCCAACGAGGACAGCCAGGGGAAGGGCACGGTGCAGAGAGTCCCCCAGAAGCGCAAACGCAGGCGCTGCCGGCGGCGACGCATCAACACGTACGTTTTTGTAGGAAACCAGCTGATCCCCCAAATGGTGGAGAGCGAAGAGGAGGAGCACGCCGAGGAGGAGCACAAGGAGGTGGAGGAGGAGGAGGAGGAGAGAGACATTGGCGACATTGAAATCCTCAAGCAAGTGAACGTGTTGAGAGACCAAATCATGGCCCTGCCGCTGCCCGAGTCCCTGAAAGCGTATTTGCTGTATTACAGAGAGAAGTGACTGATTCGCTCGGTGTCCGTTCTGAACGGGTGCGGCGCCTGCTGAGATGCTTTTCTTCACCTTTTTTCAGTACAAATGTAGCATTATTTCCATTTAATCTTGATGGCAAAACTGTACCAGAAAGAGACGTCATAGATAATACTGGATAATAATGTTACGATTGTCATGAGTGTTAAGTTTTTGTTGACATTTTCTTTTGATTTGTATACCGAAGAAAAAAGGAAAAAAAAAAACAACAACAAACAACCGTGTAAAAAGTAAACTAAATGGACATAGTTTCAGAAAACCAGTTTTGAGATTCAGATTTTATCAGGATTTCTGCAGAAGTGTGCAGATTAAAAAAGAAATTGTACAAAAAAAAAAGAAGAAAAGTTCGTACTATATTTGTTAAAATATGATCGTGCTAAGATGAAGACTTTTATTGCACCTTTTTTAGAAGCTTTAACTTACGATCAGTGTCTGATGCTGATTAAACGACGCTGAAAGGAGCAAAAAAATAAAAAACGAAAGGCAAATAAGGCCACACTCTCCCATTCTGAGTTAACGAGTAAGACATTCTTGCATAATCATGAGCACGGCACTTGTGTCATTACTCTTCCTTTCAGGTCGGCGTGTTTTATACCTTCCTCTTACAAGATGATCGCTGAGAGACGAGATCGGTTCATGGTTTTTTTCTACCGAGCACCTTTTAATGTAACTTTTTCTACGGGGTGCTGACATTCTTGTGTTTTTCTTTTTCTCACTCTTGAGTAGCTGACTTGATATATATGATAAGATGTCGTGAGCCCATCTCCTTCTCCGTGGTTTCTCTCCCGTTGTGCATATATTATATTAGTTTAAATCATATCAAGAGGTTTTAAAACGTCGAGGAAATGCAGGCGTTTGTGGGCGGCTTTCGGCTTTCTGTTTTTTTTCCGAGGGAACCGGTGAAGGGGAGACGTTAAGTCAGATATGAGTACATGCATGAATATATCGTATATGTCCTGGGTGTTCCTGACTTTGCTTCACGTTGTACGACCGGTCGCTGGAGGTGATGTTCCAAGTGATCCAGTCTTTTTTGTTTTTTAAAAAAAAAAAAAAAAAAACAACAAAAAACACAAAGGAATTAATCGATTAGAAGGCCTTGGGATAAACCTCGAGGTCTGTATAGTACTGCATTTCTTTTTTTTTTTAGACTTAAACAATGCAAAATCAGAATCGTTGAGGATTTTGACGCCTTTTTTTTACTGTGGACTATAGAAGCGTCCAGCGAAGCACCTTAATCTGCAGTCCTCAAGTGGAAATAAACAAAAAAAAAGGTGCCACTTTTTTTGGCTTAATTGTGGACTGGACTTATTGTAAATGTAAAATCTTGTTTAAAGACAATTTGCTTGCAGAAACTTCCCTGACAGTGATGGCTTCTAAGTGCCAACGTACCCCATCACGTTTAGGGGTTTTCTGCGAGTTTCCTGGCACACGAAATTCACCCAAACGATGGTATATTTCTACAAAAAACAAAAAAAAAAACATTCCACGATGAGAAAAAAAAGAAAACAGCACATCACCGATCGGATAGGTCGCACCTTTTCTTCACGCTTTACCGTCGCACGGTCGGAAAGTTCTCTCATCTTACTTTGAATGCATACTTTAGTACTCGAGAAGCTGAGTTGAATGTTGTTGATATTAATTCTACTCGATATAAAAGTGATAAATATGTGTTGTTCTCATGATTCTGCATACGGTTTAATTTGCAGTCGGTTTGTCGTAGCGCCCTCTTGCTGTACTGTATCTTTGACACTGGGAACTCTGTAGATCAAAAAAAACTCCACTGCTGTCTGTTGAATAGGTAAAAGATATATTAGTGCTATAGGTCTTCATTTTGTTCTGGTGTAATGAAAAAAAAATAATGTTTTGTTTGAAAGCGGGGCTGATTATTCTATTAGTAGTTTTTTTTTTTTTGTTGTGTGTGTGTGTGAAGAGGTAACATTTATTTTCTGTAAGGTTTTTTTGTTTGTTTTGTTTATTATTTTATTTTTATTTTTACATCCATTGCAGAGCTTTGCAAGTAAGCAATAATGGAATAATTTCTCAGCTTATAATTACCAATAACAACATAGTCCCATTTGATTTGCAGTAGCACCCATTAAAATTCACATGACCAATTACAGCCATGCAACAGTTTATATAACATTATCTGGAATGTAATTGCTAATTAGAGAGCGCATTAAGTATTGAAAGCAGGGGACCTACAACCTCGACTCTCAGGTCTCGCCTTGCACCAAAGTTAATGGGACTGCTGTGATTACATTTAATGTGGACGAGATCCGACTAAACAAACGGCGCCCGGTAAATACCAAGTCATCGCTAATCCTGAGCTCTTATAATAAGTTAATTTGTTGAGAGCCGTTCCCGTCCTGTTTATCAGGCCTTGGTTGATTTCTCATAGTGTGTGCGGTTCATTTTTTGAAAATGTGTTGTTTCTCCGTAAATGTTTGGCACAAAAAAAACAAAAATAAAGGTCACAATCACATTATGTGTCTTCTAATCATTGCGACTTTCTGAATCTAATAAATGCTTTTATGACATGAAGTGAATAAACAGGTATCCGGCAGCCTGCTGACATCAGGCTCCTGGTGACCTTGTCGGCTTTTGTTGTTGGACTCGTTGTCATCGGCGCCAATTCTTTCACGATCTCGAGCTAATTTGAGTGCTTTTTGGATGCCGTGTTTTGCTCTTTAAGAAGCAGGTGCTGGTCCGTGGAAACTTTAGCAGATTAACTGATTCACCTCTCGGAAGTTACTCGACATCTCAGACTGTATGGATTTGTAGGATGTTAAGTTGGTGGCCCGCCTTCGCCTGCAGGAAGCACGGAAGCGGTTGTGCAAAATCCAATCTTGCTTTTGTTAAAATATGAAACTGTAAAGCCATAAATAAAGATAATGACAATTGCAAGCTTCTTCAGATGACACTTCTGTCATGAAAATACAGAATGCCTGCATGATTCCTCCTCCTGCTTCCCCCTCAGGTAACTTTTTAAAGATGTTCGAATCATCTTGTCAGTCCAAACCAGTGTTTATTATCATCTCTGCGCCGTGTATTATTTTGTGCACAATTTCTCTATAATTCAGCCTGACATACTTTCTGATTGATTCTTTGATGGGAAGCTCTGTGGGCTGGAACTATATTTGAGTTTGCAGCAACTAAAAAAAAACAAAAACCCGTCATTGGGCCGCTGCTTGTTACAGAGATGTGTGCTTTTGTGTCTGGCTAAACACACCTGACCTTGCCTGCAGGAGACGTGAGGACTCACGGACACAAGATGGCAACACAATCTGCCGTGTAGAACAAGGGTTGGGCCCTCGCGCTGATTAAAAATGCATCGTTTCTCCTGTTTAAATATGAAGAAGCCACTGTTTCAGACTTTGAATTCACTGATTTAACGGGTGCTTAGTGTTGCAGTTGTGGGCCTGACAAAG